GCCGAGCAGGGAGCCCGATGCGGGACTCGATCCAGGGACTCCAGGATCATGACCTGAGCCGAAAGCAGTCGCCCAACCAACTGAGCCACCCAGGCGCCCCAAAACCTATTTCTTATCATCTCCATCAGTAACTTGCCCATCAAAAAAACCATTCTCATGTGTCATCACTCTTTCCCTTTTTAGTTTATTTCACCCTTTAACATATAAAGATGCCATGTTATTTTTATATTTTTTTATTTTTTTTAAAAGATTTTATTTATTTATTTGAGAGAGAGTGAGAGAGAGCATGAGCAGAGTGAAGGGCAGAGGGAGAAGCAGGCTCCCTGCTGAGCCGGGAGCCCAATGTGGGACTCGATCCCAGGACTCCGGGATCATGACCTGAGCCGAAGGCAGAAACTTAACCAACTGAGTCAACCAGGTGCCCCGCCATGTTATTTTTTAAAAATACTTTCAGTTACTTCTTTCTCATACTACTGCATATTTGTCCAAGTCCTCAAATGGAGAAACTTTGTTTCTTACCTTTTTCCTAGATTATCTTTCAAACACAGAGAATATTATGGAACATATAAAGAGCAGTCATATACATGAAAAAATGCTCAACATCACTTGACATCAGGGAAATACAAATCAAAACCACGAGATACCACCTCACACCAGTCAGAATGGCTAAAATTAACAACTCAGGAAACAACAGTTGTTGGCGAGGATGTGGAGAAAGCAGAACCCTCTTACACTATTGGTGGGAATGCAAACTGGCATAGCCACTCTGGGTAACAGTATGCAGGTTCCTCAAGAAGTTAAAAATAGAGCTACCCTACAACCCAGCAATTGCACTACTAGGTATTTATCCAAAGGATACAAACAGTGATTCGAAGGCGCACATGCACCCCAATGTTTATAGCAGCAATGTCCACGATAGCCAAAATATGGAAAGAGCCCAGATGTCCATCAACAGATGAACGGATAAAGAATGTGGTGTGTGTGTGTATATATACACACAATGGAATGTGGTATACAAACACACACACACACACACACACACACACACACTGGAATATTACTCAGACATCAAAAAGAATGAAATCATGGGCACCTGGGTGTCTCAGTTGGGTAAGTGTCTGCCTTCAGCTCAGGTCATGATCCCAGAGCCCTGGGATCTGGCCAAGTCAGGCTCCCTGCTCAGTGAGGAGTCTGCTTGTCCCTCTCCCTCTGCCCCTCCTCCTGCTCATGCTCTCTCTCTCAAATAAATAAAATCTTTTGAAAAAATATTTAAAAAAAAAAAAGATTTTACTTATTTGACAGAGAGAGAGAGCACAAGCAGGGGGAGCAGCAGGCAGGAGAGGCAGGCTCACCGCTGAGCATGGAGCCTGATGTGGGACTCGAGATCCCAGAACCCTGAGATCATGACCTGAGCTGAAGGTAGCCACTTAACCAACTGAGCCACCCAGGCATCCCTCAGATAAATAAGATCTTAAAAAAAAAAAAAGATGAAATATTGCCATTTGCAATGACGTGGATGGAACTGGAGGGTATTATGCTAAGTGAAATAAGTCAGTCAGAGAAAAACAAATACCATATGATTTCACTCATAGCGGAATTTTAAGGAACAGAAGAGATGAACAAAGGGGAAGGGAAGGAAAAATAAGATGAAAATTGAGAGAGACGCAAACCATAAGAGATGCTGAACTCTAGGAAACAAACAGGGTTGCTGGAGGGGCATTAAGGAAAGCATTTGATGTAATGAGCACTGGGTGTTCTATGAAACTAATGCATCATTAAAGTCTACCTCTGAAACTAATTTAAAAAAAAAAAAGCAGTCATATATCTACCACCCAATTCAACAAGCTTGAAAACTGCTGCTATTACTCCAGATCAGTTTATAAACAAAATATTGAAGATATAAAGTTCTTTCCTTTGCTCTGCAAAGATAACCAGTATCCTAAGCTTGATATTCCCATACACATTTCTATATTTTTATTACATATGTGGGTCTCCATAAATTATAGATAGTACTGTTTCACTTTTTTTTTTTAAAGATTTTATTTGACAGAGAGAGAGAGAGCACAAGCAGGGGGAGTGGCAGAGGGAGAAGCAGGCTCCCTGCTGAGCAGGGAGCCCGATATGGGACTCTGTCCCAGGACCCTGGGATCACGACCTGAGCCGAAGGTAGACGCTTAACCAACTGAGCCACCCAGGCGTCCCACTGTTTCACTTTTTTAAGTTTTAAAAAATGTGTGTCATGTCATATTTAATAGTCTGCATCTCACATTATTTTTTGTTTATAAATGCTGATGCATGTAAAAGTTCATTAACTGCCAAATAATATGCCATTGTATGTAGGTTCATTAATTGTAACAAAGGTACCACAGAGTGGGGGTGGTGGGATGTTGATAATGGAGGAGGCTATGCATATGTGGGGGCAGACATAGGGTCTGGATCTTCTGTTCAAATTTGCTGTGAACCTAAAACTGCTCTAAAAAATTAAGTATTTTTTTAAATACCACAATTTATCAATCTACTGTCCTTCTAGCAAACACTTACAATGTTTCCAGTATTACACTATTAAAACAATGCTGCAGTTCACATATATGTCTCCTCTTGTGCCTTTGCTGGGCTTTACACCTAGGAGTGGAATTGTATTAACAAAATACTCTCCAAAGTAGTTGTGCCAACTGTGTCACA